ATTAAATTATTCCCTGCCCAACTCTCCTGGGCTTGCTGTGGCAGGTGTTGAAACAGAAACACTGGGATCCTGATGGTGGTGGCCGGTACCTTCTGCTTGCCACCTCAGATGTGGGAGGAGTGATGCCAGTACCTGCTGAATAACAGAGTATGTCCCAGGAGTTCCTCTAGTGGTACATCCAAGCCATCAGGCAGTGAGGGCTCCCTGGGACGTGGTTGTGGTGCAGACAGACACCAATGAGCATATTCTCCATGTATGAATTCAAATGTCCTTGTTCCTTCCATGTCCATGTTCCTTCCATGTGACTACAGAAGTCAAAGGCCAAGCCTGCCCCCCACCGTGCAGGAGGCTGCACTCTAAGCAAAAGTAAGTGATAAAACGGGCTGCAGGAATCCTGCTCAGTGAGGGCACAGCAGCTTGACCTGATGGGCACAGCTATTTAAACCTTGACAGTTTTTACTGAGTTGAGGTTTGGCGTCCAGTCTCGGGTAACTAAACTAGATAAAAAATTAAGCCCCAAATGTAATATTACTGCTTAATAAACTGGGCTTAGTTAATCACCTATGATGCTATCAAGAGGTACTTACTCATAACCTAGGCGCTAAGGTGAAGGTGGGGGAGTAGCCCAAAAGCCACCGTTGGCCAAAAGAGATCAAGCTCACGTTGGTGAGCATGTGAAAAACCTCTGCTTCTCTGGGTCTTGTGGGTCCCTCTCACAGGTGAGATCCTCCTCCAGCCTCCCCCAGGCACCCACATGGATGGCAAATACCTGCTTTTGAGCAGCCCCTCATCTGGTGAAGATCTCAGCCCTGTCTGGCTCCACTGCAGGAGAACTTTCCTGGAAAGTCTCCTTCTCCTCAGCCCAAGCCGGGCTCTTTCACTGAGAAGAAAAAAAGAAAAAGAAGAAGAAAAAAAAAGAAGAGAAAATAGAAAAACCTGCCCCATGCTAACTCTACGTGACTCAGCCAGGACACCAAGACAAAACCCTTTCTCTGCAGTGAGGATAAACTCAGCAAACAAGATAAACTTTAGATGGAGCTAAACCAAATTATTCTCTAACAGCAGTTTTACTTAAGCTTGAAGTAATTTCAGTTGGCATCTCACTCACGCAGCTTCGTATTAAAATTCTTCTCAACTCTATCTTGATGTACTTCTGAAGAATACCAAGTAGCACAGCATCTTACTTAATTTTTCTGAAGTAGTAGTTCAAAAAATTGCAGAAGATCATGTCTCAAAATCATAGTCAAAATCTTTTTGCTTTTATTCTATTTAATGCTTAACATCTGGGAAAATACAATAAATAATTTTTCAGTCTAGAACAATTAGATGTTATGCTTAATAATAAAATGTTCAAAGAGGATGTAAAAATAAATTAATATCTTACTCTTTAACTTCAATGACAAAGCAAGTCTCAGTTTCAGACGCCTGAGAGATTTTCAGCCATGAAAGATAAACGAATGTGTTCTGCCCTTCCATAAACATGTAGCTATCACTGAAACCAATGGGATATATACATATACATACAGAAATATATATGTGCCTGCATCAGAGGGCAGAATTTGCCCGAGATCTTACAAAATGGTAGTTGACATTCATGTGTGCTTATTTTTTTAACAAACAGAAGTGCAGAACATTCATGAATCATACATTTTCCAAATCCTGCAACCGCAACTTATATGAAACATCAGCATATAAAAAGTCATCACTGTACAACCATGTTTTTTTTTAAAAGTCAGTGTCAAAAACATAAAAACCAGCTAATTTATTAAAACCAGATACATTGTTTAAGTGCTGAGGTTTGCATTAGCTTTCCGCTGTTTTAAGCACAAGAATATATTAAAACATAAAAGGCAAAAGTGGCTCAGAAAATGACAAACTCTCTAACAACACACTTGTAGCTTTACTAACACTTACCTGACACTACCATTAATTGAAAAACAACGGAAACACAATGAGGTACAGATACCAACGAATATTCCTTACAACTGTGCAAACTGTAGGCCTCCTCCTGCAACCACTGCTGGCTCCAGAGCTTCCTCCCAGGGCCGGTCCTGCGACCCTCATGTCATGCACCAAACACAGTTAAAGTGCCTCAGATTTCACACTGATGCAAATCTACATTTCGTTCCTTTAGACTTGAAAAGGTGAAACAGCTTCTCAAAAGTCTTCTATAAATGCTTCTTTAAAACTATTTGAGGTCTTCTGTTTCAAGGTAAATCTAATAAAGGATTGAACTGCTTTTAAATTAGGCAAATAGTGCTTGCTCTGCTTTCTGTAAAAAAACAACTATACTCCTTTGCTGTAAGATACTTCATACATCTCCAGTCACTCTTCCCTTTATTTTAAAGAAAGTAGGAGGCAGAGCTATAACTTTGTTGGTGCAATCGCCTGTGGAGTTCTGAAACAGCCCTATGGATTTTTTGTGATGACACTGAATCTTAAATTCATCCCTTTTCACAAGACTTTTCTCCAGTTTTTGTTTTATTCTGCTTCTTCGCTCTTCTCAGAACCCCTTCCAGCTGAATTATCTGCCTCATACTTTTTATCCAGAGCATCTTCAAAGGGTTTCCCAGTGCAGTCATAGGTTTTACTTGTACATCCCGTATGTGTCCGAATGCGAGCTCCTGGCTGGTATAACTGCATGGCTGGGCGATCCTAGAAGGAAGGAGATGTGGTTAACGCTCTGAGAAGGCTGTGTGGGATACATATGTGGGATTCTGAAGTGATGAATGTTTGTGAAGAAAGTAGATTTTGTGTTATGTCAGTTTACATTTCATAAGACCCAGAAAAAAAATGGAGTGTAATGAAAATTGACTATTTAATATCTGTCTCGTTCATAACGCTATTCTTGGGAGCCAAGCATTTTTAATAAATGAAGAAAGGCTGTAAAAAGTAAAGAATCCTGTGATACATTTGATGTAAACAAGAAGAAATACTGCAGACAAGTACCAAACACAGTATTACAAGTAAAACTCTGAAAAATGGTGCTACCTTCACTAACATCAACTGGGAAGAACAACAGCCTGTTCACTTGCAACTCTACAGAGGAATGACAAATATTGAATATAAGCATAAAAAATAAGACAAACCAGAGAACAGTTTAGCAGATAACAGCTAGAAAATTATCCTCAGCTAAACTTCATCAATTGTCACGTGTGCACTGCTGCTCCAAGTCACCAGTCATTACCACAGTTTAAACACGGAAAGCACATCTTAATTATACATCTCAAAATAAAATTGCACAGTTATTGCTCCACTTCATCATGCCTTCCATACTGAGTATGAAGGTGGGGGAATTCACCCACTGGTAATAAACAAGGTAAGTACAGTCTGAGCACACACAGGCTCTGTGAGTGACCCAGGCATACACACACCAATCTGATCACTGGAAAATGGAAGGAGCCAGTTTACAAGGAACAGACGCCTCAAACTTGCAAATGGTGATGTTCCATCACCATCTTTTTTATCCTTGAAATTTCAGTAATAAAACACACTGCTTAGAAACTCTGCTAAAGAAATCTTTTTGTAGTAAGAGTACTCACAAATACCCGTTTTAAATGTTATGATGCAACCCATCCAGCAAAACCTGAGCTTTTTGACCAAACTCTCATGTTAAGTTTAGCAAACAAAATTTAACAGTCTATTTGAAGACAGTGGCAGAGCACTGAAATTGTCCTGCATCAAACTATACTAATTTTCAATTGCCTTCATAATTCGAACTAATTCCACACTTTTCTTCTTTCATTCTTTTTTCTTATTCCCCGTATGCATTTTTACTTTTTCTTACTTTTTCCTTCACCTTTGTCTTTATAGCTCCACTTTCTTCTCTGTCTCATTACAGACAGATTCACTCTTGGGCCACACAACCAGATCATTCTAGTTAGTGCTTTGTAGTGTGGTAGGAAATGTGTAATATGCATCTTTCTACATCACAAACAGCTGCATAAAACTACATCCTCTGGCAAGCAGTGCCCATTGGAAAGTTTATGATAAATATAATGATTTTTCCTGTCACAGACTCTGTACCTTGCAGTTTGCATGAAAGCTAGCATAACTGTTACTTACACCTGAAATTTCTCATTTTCCAATTAATTCTTACAAACTTCAGAAAGAAGCTTGATTTCTGCCTAAAAACTTGTGCTGGCGTTATTAATTCTGTAGGCAAGCTGGAAAACTCAGCCCCTAACTTATGTATGTGACAAATACCCTACGGAAAAGTCACCACACTGCAAAAAAATTTACTGATTTTGTTTATTTTGTTTAGGGAACAAATCTGGCACTTGAAATGTGGACTAATCCAAAGACTCAGCAAGCTACCAGAAGTGTGATGATAAGAAATAAAAAGAAGGTGGGTCCTTAAGGCTTGACCAAAGGCTCCCAAGAGCCACTGTCCAGTTCCAAGGTTGCAGATGTTTCACCAGACTGGAAAAGTAGCGTGGCAAGCATGAGCAAAATTGCCTTTCCCATCTTCCCGTTTCTGAACTAGCTGACATTCTGATGTGACATTTTTCTGACTGTTCTACCGCTTGAGCTGTTGGTGTACATGGAAAGTGGCCAATGTGTATGCAGATAAACCTCACCCATGCTGCCCAGCCGACCTTCGCATAAACAAAAAGCGGGGCACACCAAGCTTTCTGTGTTTGCACGAGGTGACTTCCTCGACACGCAGACTCCATACAGACTCACTCTGCACGTGACCAATTTACTCCTCGGCAGCCTTAGCCCACATCACACAGCAGTAACTTGGTTTGAAAGAAGAGTTTCACACGCAGACTAAATTTCTACACAAAGCGGTGTTTCAGTCATCTTTTGTGGAAAATCAAGGATCAGAAGGGAGAGAGAATGAGGGTGACAAGGAGAGCCACCTCCTGAAAAAACCCTGGAACATCCATGAAATCAGACAGCCTGAGAAAAATGATGCTGATGTCTCTGAGAGCAAATAAGGGGCGGCTCTACTACACACCCTGCTACAGGCTCCGCTTGCACTGGTTTTGCACCTGCTCTTTCCATGAGGATAATTTGTCTTAACCAAACGACAGCCTTTTCATACCGGCAGGTGTACAGTACTGAAGAATTTTCACATTCACACTCTCTAAATACAATGGTCTCTGAATTAGTCCTTATAATTCCTCTACTGAGCAATGCCTAGCAATCCATAATATAATTACTTTATGAGTGGGGTAATGGAAATACATTTTTAAAAGCCTAGCATGCCCCAGTTTTTACATTCCATTACGGATCAGAAGTATAACAAGTTTTAATATACTCATAAAATACAAGGCTTCCAAGAATAGTGTTCTAAAAATGCCAGGGTTGAAAGGAAGACAAAAAAGTCTTCTATATATTGTAAATATGAATGAACAGAGACCTGTGATCTTAACTTATTTTAACTGCTATTGTCCTCTGATAACAGCAGAAAGAAGTTTGGGTTTTACTGAAAATGAAATAAAGAATTGCTTTTTTGAAAAAGTATTTTTATGCTGAGTTTGCCAAAGTAAAAACCTGTGATCTTGAAGCATATTTAACTAATGAAAGATTATCCTAAATGAATAAAAGAACCTTATTTCTTATGCGCTCCTTTTTGGATGCCATGTCATCACACTTGTCCTCTTTACCCAGTTTGTCTACTGCCTCCACAGTGAAGCTGTAGCTGTAGTTCCCTTTCTTTCCTCTGTCTTGGTTGTATCCTTTCCCCCATTTCAGCTCTTCTTCATTCCTTCTCACAAACTTGTCAAACTCATAGTGAGCTCTATGCTTTCTGCCATCATCCAATCGATACCTTTGTCTTTCAGGCTCTTTTTCTCGAAATCTTCTCTCCAAATCTCTTTGCTCTTTGTCACTATCATTTTGTGACCTACAAGTATGTATAAAAAGAAAGAAAATCCAAGCAATTAACAGTAAATAAAAAAGCCGTTGAAGGACACAATACAAAGCCTTCCTTTGACTTCAACAATATTTAGATCGGTTGTATGGTATGGCAAGGCTGGTTTTTTTCTCATTATAAAGGGGTTATGTGCAATTTTGCTGAAAGTCTCATCCATGTATGTCTGGCCCTTGACTCTGTAGATACAGATTTTGCTTGCAGAGCTTTGTCTGCTATTTTGAACTGAATCTGACTTTTGTGCAACTGCTGTGGAAGGCCCACTCTTCAACTTTTACCCCCCTTTGCAATCCCATAAAGAGCTCCCCGATACTCTTCACATAAACACATGCTGCATGATTAGCTCTTGTGGTCTGTCCTTGAGGTGACTCATGTATAGGAGTATTCCCTTGAATGGGAACATTCAGGGCCTGAAGGAATTGTGTGGGTATCATACCAATTTGTAAAGTTTTATGACTCTAACAACACTTACTGACATTGCAACTTGCAGAAAGCACTTACGAAAATGAACACTTATGTTCCAGGCTTCAGTTTATGATATCTCCAAGTAATTCAGCCTACCTTTGCTTATTTTATTTAGGCCAAAGACCATTACCATACCACAACGTAATACTTAATGTCTGCTATGCTGCAATGGTTTTTGCAGCATTTTGCTGCCTGTCTGATACAATTCTCAGCTCTTTTATTCACTTCATCATTCCTGTTCAGCAAGCGCGTGCTTCTCTCATACAGACAAACTGCAAATAATGAAGAAAGATTACAGAATAGATTGAACTTCAAAAGGAGCAAATGCAGGCAGTTTGTTTTTATATCTTACATATGTACAAATACTTAAAATAGAAACAGGACAGTTGTTTTTGACAGTCTGCTCACATTTTAGGAATCAGCAGACAGAATCAGAGACGATGGAGATTTTCTAATAGTGTAGTGACCAAATAGTGATATGCCTCTCATTTAGAATGGTTTAATATCAATAAAAGTGTATCATTATATAGAACTTTTTTTCAAATAAGGGAACTGTGAAAATTGTCAGCCTCTGACATGAATTTGGGCATTGGTGTGGCTGCTAAGACAGGGGTCCCATCTCAGGAAAAGCTGGAGGTCAGCAACAAAACCTGAGTGACAGGTAAGTTATTCAGCATTTCGCAAGACTGTGCTTGTGTCAGCATAACACATTCACCAAGTGGAAGCAACATCCTAGCTGTCACAGACACCTGAATCAATCACAAGTACCGACATACTGTACCTGTAGCATAGATACATTTATATAAAAACTGCTGTGTTAGCTCTCAAGGGGTAGGTGGCTCTAAGTTGTTTTTTTTATCTTCATGTTTAATATGCTATTCTAGACACTACCTCCAAGTCCTAGCAAGGCTCAGAGCATGACCTTCCAAAAAGCCAGAGTGACACATCTCAATTTGTTGCTGTAGCACTGCCTGAAACCTGTCTCTTCCCCTTCCTGCTACTGTGGGTGAGGAAGAAATGGATATGCCTGGAGGTAGGTAAGTGACAAGGATACAAACTGCAGTTCAAGAGTGGTTAAAGTAGCTTTCTGAAATTCAGTCACAGTGAACAGGCAGGCAAGAGTGGAAATGGTGGGGTAAGCAACTACAGAGTACAGGTAGAAGAGAAAGCAGAAACAAATGGAAATAAATGGAATGGAAGCATACTTCTGTTTGGTATAGTTTCAAATCTGTATGTGACCCTGTACATTCATGCACCTCCTGAGGTTTTAATTTGTGGTACAAAGCTATTGCTACTGAGCCTCAAAACATGGTTTCAAACAGGCAATTCAGTCTTCTGCATGTAGAGCTGGAAGCTACAGTTTATAACTGATTTATGAGTTGGTGACAAAGTAATTACAACTTTAATTCTTGATCCAGCTGAAACAGCTCATAGCTTGCTACCGAATCATATCCGTTAATAATCATGATGAAATAAGCACTTGGAAAGACAAAGTAACACTTGCTGTACTTGCACAGCCAAATGGATTCTGTTTAACACCTGGAAAATCTACATTAATGCCTTATTAAACTTATAGGATCAATAGTAAAAATGTTATATGGCACAACCAAAAGTTTGATACATAAAAAGTCTTATTAGCAAACAACTGACTTTTCCCTGCAAGTGTTTCTGATGACCCTGTTCTGTTTCCTTTGCGGAACATCAACAAAAGAGTTGCTGAATATTTTCAATTTCTATTAGAGAATAGGAAATGGAAGTTGTCAGTATCTTTCAGGACATACTCAACGTATTGAAACACTGAGCCTATGTGTGAAGTCCTTAGAGACAGAAAAAAGGACAAATAATGCATGCAGGATATTGCTGATGAACCATTTTTTTCAATTAGCAAATTCAGTGGTTTTATTTTCCAGTGTTCAAAATCTATTTGCCATTAGGAGAACATTTGCAGCTCCTGTATGCTTTTCATAAAAACCTATGCAGACAAAGGTAAAACTCTTAACTACTCAGAATAGGCAAGTAGCCTGCAAGGTACCTAGAGCACAATCCCAAACTTTCTCTAATACTTTATATATAATACCTTATATAGCTTATTTAAATGTTCAAGCTTGTCCTTATGTACTTCTGAAAGCGTGGCTGAAAAACTCAGCTGAAAAACTAAGTATTATTTATCTTAGCGTCATATTTTTCTTAGTTATATCTCTTACATATCTTATGGGTGAATCCTACTTGTGACGGGACACAGGTGCCAAAAGAGAGAGAACCAACTCCTGAAAACATCTGTAAGACATTGCCAGGCTACAGTAGTAACAGAAATGAGCTATACCTCTTCTTCCCACTATTACAGATGTAACACAAAAGGCAGTGGAAGACAGAGACAGCCTTCTGCATCTATCTGTCATAAAGCTATAATTCACACATTAACTATTCTGCCATTGTCCCATTTATCAAATACATTTATATGTTTATTGCAGCAAAACCGAAGAAAGTGTCATGGAAGAGTAAGTTACTTCAGGCTATTTAGTCTTTGACATCAGTAATGGAAGGAGGGCCTTACCTGAGCTCTTGAAGGGGAACAGGTGAAATAAAAATAAAACTATGAATGATTTTTCGCACATAAATCCTTCCAATCTGGGATTTCAAAACATTCACAAACAACAAATCGCATCTACTAATACTGCCATCAGGTCAGTAAGTTGTTATTAAACACCTTTTACAAAAAGGACAGTGAGAGATTTGTTCACACACACAATAAAATCAGTTCCTTGCTGACAAAGCACCCAGCCAATGCACTTATATCATGTTTAAGCTTTCAAACGAAAACATTTAGGATATAAATTGAAGCATAAAAGAGAAATATTACTTACTTTTCCCTAGGTTCTTTTAGTGAACCCTCCAATGATTTGGACTTTATACTCCCAGACCCAGGTGATTTATCCCATTTGCTTTCTTCAATGTCAGTTTCTTCACCTTTCTCTTTGTGCTTTTCACTGCCCAGCTCATCTCCTTTTTCAGGCTTCTTAAGAAGCTAAGAAATATTTGTTTATATTATATTATGATGTAAAATTATTCTCCTCTGTTGTAATAGACATTTTAACAATGTATAAAATATATAAAAAACTACTAAGATTGAAGATCTTTAAATGCTAGGAATATATTTTACCAAGTATAAAAAGTTTAAAGAGGGCAGTTTACTTTTGCTAAGTAGTGACAATTATTAACAGCACTCAACTTCCCAGTTTTAAATATGCTGATAATACTGAAGAAAGCACTTACCAATTTATCTCTCCTAAGTTTTATATATAAAGATACTAGTGTGGTCTATGATTTCTTAGAAATCATGTAACAGAGCTCAGTGTTATTGCCAATAAAATAAAAAGCAGAACCTCTAAGAGAAAAGGAGCAGTATTAATACTTCACTCCATGAAATATTCTATATAAAATGTGTTACACATGAACTACATGGGACAGACTGGTATACAGAAACAGGTGCCGAGTATACATACATCATGACAGAAACACAGACTGAGGAAAAATTATGATGTTAGCAGAAAACCTCACATTGCATTTTCACCTTGGAAATTAAGATTTCCAAGAAGTCTGTTCCTTTCACAACAAATAAGCCACACAGGGCTTGAGCAGTGTCTAGCATTACAGGAATAATCTTTATAGAAGGACCAACTGTCTCAAACTATTTCTCTAACATTTCAAGAAGCAGCAGGAGATCTCATCAGTCTTTTTATTCCACCAGTTCTTCTGAAATAAGCACAAGTTATTCTTCTCCAATATGTAAAACTTCCACTATTTAAAACAAGTCTCTTTTCTTCTGAAGTTCTAGAATATTTTTCTTTATGCCCAAATATGAAAAATACGTAGTTCGGCCTCAGAACTTACTTTTTTATATATCCAGGTGAAGGAAACTGTTGGCCAGAAAGAAAAGGAAGAGGAAAGAAGTACACGGCTTTGTGGTTTCAGCCCACAAGATCTAGAGTGAGTCTGTGTGCCCTTGCATTAAGTGACAGACTCCTATACCAACTTTCAACTTCAAAATAGCCTATAAAATCTTTCCAATACCACAAAATTTAGTTCAGATGAATAGTTTGTATATATATCATCTTACACAAATACGGTCTTATGCCTCCAGACTTAATAGCACAAAATACACCTCCCTAATTAAAGTCATTAGAAGCACATGCATTCAGGATGTTACAAGGCAATACAGCCTCAAATTAGCAAGACTTGTAACTCGTTTGAAGCATATTATTAAAATAAATCAGTTTGAAGCATGAACACAAAAGAACTCTTTGTACGTATGGCTACATGAAGATTTACACGACAGAAAGTGTTAAAGCCATATTGCAACAATCTTCCAACGTTAGCACAGAACAATTTGGTTCAGTCAGGTTAAGTCAGCATAGAATGTGGCAGTGTAATATAAAGATACCTGAGTTACCTGTCATAACTGCATTAGGACATCATTGTGTCTAGGGTAAATTCACACTTTTCAACAACACTATTTAGTCAAAGCCCTACATTATTTCCCCTTCCAGTTAAAACTGGTTTGGTATCTCCATGCTGTACTGTAGTACACTGCATAAACAGTGTGAGATACCAAAGGAACGTCTGTATAACTTCAGCAGAAGAACAGGTTTTTTTTCATTAAGGTACCTTGATTCTTATTTCTTTGTCAGAAATCTTCTTTTGCTTCTCCACTTCTTTTCTTTTACGTCTTTCTTCTTCTCTGCGTTTCCTTTTCTCTTCCTCTCGCAGGCGTTTTTTCTCCAATTCTCTCCGCCTTCGCTCTTCTCTTTTCTCTTCTCGTATTCTCTGAAGAGTTCAAAATGATTAATTGTAAAGTGTCCAACAGAAAACCATGTGAAACATAAATGTTGAACTTCAGGCAAAAGTCTGAACGTACCTGCTTTTCTAATTTTCTATTTTTAATATATTCCAAAAGAGGTGTTGTTCTTCTAGCTAAAACACAAAAAATTTGTGATATAGTGTTCAACTCCTAAAATATGTACTCATTTCTTTACTTCAGTAATAATCCCCTTTTTCTAGCTTTATCTGCAAGGGAGCTAAATAATTAATAAACCTATTTGGTTTACGTATTTTTGAAGGCATTCTCATCATTCTGCCTTAGAAACGCTCTTGCTTTTTCACTGTTAGGGTTAGAAGCAACAGAGATACGTTGCATGATTATTTAATGTTTAATTAAAAATTTTATATTTTCAGTTCAAATAATGGCTTTTTTCTCTTGCTCATCAAATGGTTATTCACCAAAAAGGAAAGAAATGTGTTCAGAATCTATTCCTACACTTTAATATTGTACATCAAAACCTAGCTATATTGCTGTTCATATATAGACCACAGTACTGTAAACTCACATTGCATTTTTCGATTCCAGATTTCAAAATACATCATGAAGGAAACATTTTCATTCTCATATATTTCAATTTAACTACCATTTAGCATTTACACCTCCAAGGGAAAATGGGGTGAATAAGAGATAAGTGGTTTGTCCCAGGTTACTCAGCAAAGTATAAGCAGATTCAATAAAACTCTAGTTTCCCAAATAACAAATAAAATGCCCCATCCACTTGCTCACAAAGCCACTCGTATGTTACAGAGCTGTCTCTATGCTCTGAAATCTCGGCCTAAGCCACCTGCCTGAACCATCCCCAAATTCTACAAAAACTTGGAGAACACAATCAAATTCTGTATCATGTACAGCATTCTTGACTGTCGGTACTTAATTCAAACTTAAATGCAGGTACTTACAGCGGTGAGTAGTTACAACAAATTTTGTCAGTCTTAGAAGTCCCAGCATAGAGTTACAGAAAATGTTTACTACTAGAAATTGCCTTACAGTTACATATAGGATTCTTCCTCAGACCAGAAGAAAATTTCACAACTGGAATGCATTACAGGATTTGGAAGAAAAAAATGGAAGAATAAAAAAGGAAGAAATAAAAGAAGAATGATTAATTCTTCATTCTTCAAATTCATCAAATTTGAAGTGGCATAGCCAAAATCTAGACACAATTCATACTCCAGAAACACTTGAATGTTTTTATCTTGATGGCATGACTATCCTGGGGGCAACTCATTCATAGATGATAAAACCTTGCTATGCAGTTATGAATGGGAAGGCTTGATGGGATTCAGTATTTCTTTTTAGCAAATATTACTGCTCAAAAGCAACAACCAAAAAAGACTGTTGATTTGAGATCTTCCTCCCTCTATCCCTAGATTTCCTATGCCCATAATTTTGGACAAATTCTAGGTCCCCAGCAGCCTCCCTACCAGTCTCTCAGGCCTGCAGCTCTGCCTCTCTCTCCTGCTCCCATAGTTGCCCTGTCTGAGCAGCGTCTGCCTCTGGGCACTTTCACATGGTGAGTAGCCACAGATAGTAGCCACAGTAGCCACAGATTGTAACAGGAGGAAAGGATAAGCCACACTGGGAGTCCAGAACATGACGCTCGTCGTGACTAAGGCTGTGGTGCAAGGGGTTTAATCAAAAATTACAATTTCAAGTTCAAGGGAGAGAGGCAGTGTGATGAGTACTAGCAAAAGAGGAGGGCAAAAAAATAATGTTTATCTAACCTGAATCTTACCCATCTTATTTATGGGCATTACTACAAATAAAAATCTAAGAGGTGTTTCTTAAAATGCTTAAGAAAATTTAACTGAAAATAAATTACAAAATGAAGATCTGTGTCAGCAGTAACTTTTATGTTTTATCTTGCTCTCTACAAACAAGCCAGAAGAATGAGCTTACCTTCATCTTGTTACAGAGAAAATCTGTTCTATGCCTCTCTGTCACACTGAAACTGATGAGCTAACACATCTGACGTGATACATAAAACATGCTGGTCTGCGGTAACACTACCTGGAGAAATGCTGAGAACGTGAGGCCCAATTCTGCCAACAAAGTCCTGGGCACATCTTTCATGGACCTCAGTAGAAAGAACACCTTTGAAACTGGACAGGCAACTAAACCCTCACATAATTTTGCTATACATGTGCTATCCACTGAAGTGATCTTTGTTTTTATATTTATAGCAGTTTTGAATAGCAGAAAAAAATATAGCAGCTACTTTGCTTTCCTGTGATTTAACAGGAACATTAAAACTCTTAAAGTAAGGCTGCCTTCAGCCAACATTGTTACTCTGAAATCTGCAACTCCTGTGACTTGTAATTTTCATTGAACATTTTATTCAGTTAGAATAGTCAGAATATATTCAGATAATATTCAGTTAGAATATTTTAAAGTTAAGAAGTCTGTCTTGAAATTGTAAACTTTCTTAGAAAATGCTGACTGCTTTTACTGTGCTGTCAAATACCAGTGAAGATCTAGGGTATATAAAAATTGTTGGGGAACCTCCCTATCTAGAAGAGAAACAAGTTTTATTGGTAACAGAATTCTCTAAATGTCCACACTTCTAACATTTCCATTTCCTCTAAAGAGTTTAAGTACCAAATCTCACTAGTCAACTATTATTTCATGCATTTGAGGAATAATTAATGCCACTCTACAGAAATGCTTGTCACAAGCAGGGACAAACAGAGAAACAGCATTAATCAAAAGAGGTGGCTACTTCCACACTGTAAAGAAATAGTAGCAAAGATGATTTTTTTTCCCTACTTGATTGTCTTTTTTTAAAGATTAAGTGTTCTACATGTTGTCACTTGGAGACAGAGCACATCAGTATTCCATGTCATCCTGGAAACTGCTGACTGGCATTGAAGATTTCACTGTTGGTCTTTACTAAAGATTCCCCCATGAGACTGCGAGAGACATGCTGCATGCATACAGAAAACCAAGTGTTGCCTTACTTTCAGAGCTTTTGCAGAACTTTGACTGTGAGAACGAAGAGAAATAATTTCGTGTTTCTCAATATAAGCAGCTAATATCAGGGTCAATTGTTAAGTATTTGGCTATTTTAGCCTTTAAAAATAAATCTTCCATTTTTTAATGCATCTGTAAGTATTCAGAAGTATTAAGGACCTATCTCTACAGCCACTGTGCATGCAAAACTTCTGGTTAAGTGATTCCATGCATAGAGACTTCAAAGAGTAAGTGAGGAGTTTCCTGTCACTACCTGGCTGGGTAACAAAAATTTTACTGTGATAATCTCAATCTCTGTTAGACTGAACAGGTAATATCATAAAGATAGAAAAATAAGGTATTTCATATTCTCAATAATAAGAAAAATTACGAAAACAGACCAATGAGTTCCCTTGTTCTGGCCTCAATCTCTCCCAAAAGAATCTCAGGATTGGCACAGATTTTCTCTTCATCAGCACAATAACTCTCTAAAAATTTCCTATATTCTGGATCTGTGAAGAAAAATTTTTGAATTGTTAATACTTTGCAATGCATGACAGAAACGGAATCTATTTTCCACTGTGATGCCAAGAAAGTATGTTTACCGTCTTCAATGCTCCCAGCTTTGGCATCTTTCTTCTTCAGCTTCTTTTTTGAAATCTTCTGGAATGGAGCAAATTCAACCACTGCAGGATACTCCAAACCTTAAAAGAGATCAATGCTTTATTTTTTTGAGGGGGAGAAACATTCCTTATAGTCATGTAAGATTTTCAAAACTAACTTGTGTTGGGCAGCATTGCCTGAAATCAAAGGTGAACGTTTCTACAATCACATCCTAAACTTCTAACGAAAAATTACACGTACGTTTTAGATTCAAAACAAAATGCATTTATGTTTTAATTACATATACAAACATTAAATATTTTCTGGACATGCTAACAAAGAGTGTCAAAATGAAGATAACTGTTGCAGAACAAAAAATTTTTGCATTATCATTTCTAATTCCCTTTTAATTCTTCACAGATATTGATTAGAAAAATTTACCTAAAAACTCAGCCTGACAAGTGAGTAAGTACTACTGGGAAGTGAATCTGGAACAACTGAGTTGCTTCTGTAAAGTTTTGTTGCCAGAAAGCTTAAAAAATAACTAAATGGTGGGTAACATGCGATCAAAAAACGTAACACCTTCTTTCAGAATCGAATGTGTAAAACTCAGCATGTACATTCGTGGAACTTGTGGTTTTTTGTATTTATGAGGGACTACACAACCTCTTGCCTGTGTTTACTGGCATGGATCCTTTGTTTTGAATTCTGCCTTAAATACTACATTATTCATTGGACTGGAGTCAGAACTGTGTGTGTCTGGGTGGTTACCACTTGCAGTAGGTTCAAGATTTGCTCAAGTCGACTGAAAACTTGCCTTAAATCTGCTATAATATTTAACCTTACTGAACGTGGTAATCCTTGTTTTCATTTTAGCCTTGTAAATGCAATACCACCACAAGCCTCACCAGAGGACGCCTTTGATCAAAATTTGTGCTCTTTATTTGTACAGTCATGCCAAACTGGCCAGCTGCATCCAAGCTCAGTTTTGTAATGCACGTAATATTCTGGCTTCAGTCCCGCAAAACACTGCAGAAAGTACTTCATTTAGACAAAATGAAGTCTTGGCAGAATTACAGAAATAGTTTATTTCTAGTTTTTAATCTAAAAAAAACCCAGCTTTTTCTGAGAAGACGGAAAGAAAAAAGACGAACATTAGAAAATCCTGGCATCTGTTCGTTAGGGGCTATCCTGCCTCATACTTTACAACAGAATTTGAAATCTGGGAATCACACGCTGCAAGGAATGTATTGTTCTCCATCTCTAGGAAAATCCATCCCAATCTGACTACGTTAGAAGCCTATAAAATATCTCAGGTGGGTAATACTGAAGACAAATTTGTTCATTTGGTGGACAAGCTTCTTTAGAGATAGTCTCCAGTAAGAGTGGGCAGGGCTACTCTTCACACAACCTCCTCAACACTGAGTGTACAGAATGGACAATGTTCAGCAAAACCCCCAAGTCTGTGTCTGTTTTATACAACCCACACATTCCTTTACAGACACTGTGGGTGAATGAGACAAGGAACTGCTAAAGGGAAACCACCATTTCTTGGCTATGCAGTTTCACGCTACTGTGGGAGACGGGAATTTATCCTTGCCTACATTACATGTTTTTTCTTTACTGTTGGGCAAACCTTTGCAGACTGAACATTTTAAAGATGGCAATCAATTTTGTCACTCTTTTTCTTGGAACTCAACTCAAGAAGTCGGCAAATGCTCTAAAAAGTCAAGCTGTACATGTCCCAAATTGGGCAACAAAAATGAAGACAAGTTGCCATCTCGCTTTTTCAAAAAGGGAGTAAGTGGCACAACTTGATCTCACAGAAACACACTGAAGATGTAACGATTCCTGCTTACAATGCGTTCAGTTACTGTTGTAAGGAGTTGTGAAGCTTGCCTAAGAGAATTATCTTAATAGGATCTCGATACTGTATTGCTCAAGATCAAGCATACACACCACACAGACAAGCAAAACTGCATGGACAAATGCATTTCACACTTCATTATCTTCTAAGTGCTAGATTTGAATATATTTTTATGCAATTAACTGTATATTGAGAAAGAACCCCCTGACATAATTAGCAAAAAGGAAATAAATTAATGTTCTAAAATGGTGTATGTATAGACAGACATTTAATACACATTTAATATCTTACAAATAATCCAACCTTTATTATCAATGAAGACATAGCCATCAAAGCGATCTCTAAAAAGGAGGATGTCCTCAGGATTTCTAAAGTTAATGTATGCTCTTGAGTAGAGATGAGGATAAAGGCTGCAACAAGAAACAATTTTATTTTCTGTTATTTACTACTCTGTTCAGGACTAGGAAAAAAGTAAAACCAAAAGGATCACACTGCAATGCTCATCTTTGAAAATGGGTACCTTAAACATGCATATTGAAGTCTTTACATATACATATCCAATTATGTACATAACAAAAAGTAACTGAACAAATGAGTGCCTGGCTGCAACTGAGGCAAATATTTCTAGTTTGTTTTGTCTCCCTAAATCGCAAGGCATACACTTCCATCGTGCAGGATCGAAGCTGTAAGTCTAACAGTTCATGACTTAAGAGATATGAATAACAGCAGTGCTTTAGGGGAAATTCTTGGGCATGCTAAGTAAGTGTTCTGTCGCTGAAACAGAAGGTAAGTAAAATCTCCCAGTGAAAGAGCAGTTGCCAAGTTGTCACTGTATTTAAATAGATTTCCACCTTTAACAAAGATTAAATAATCTAACAGTTGGCAAGATAATCCACTAATTATATACAAATAAATAAATGCCATCTGACATAGATGCATATGAATACATATGCAATGCCTAGTTGTGACGAACAATTACCGTGAAAATCCAAAGCATGTGTAGCAAAAGAAAGAACAGGTACTTACCTAAAACAATTCTGATTCTTCAAGAACTTACTGGCATAGATCCCATTCCAAGGTTATATGTTTAATGTACCTGATAAAAACCTCTGGGCTGGCAGGCCACCAACCCCAAAGAAACTGAGGAAACCTAATGAATTACCACCCATCAGCTAAGTTACTGTGAGTCATGGCAAGTACATGCTCTAAACCCCTGCGACTGTGACATAAAATAGTCTGGCATAATCTGCCTTCACTGATGGCTATGTATTACAGCAGGTTTTTGAACATCTCTGTAACACAACGTATCTATGCTCATAACACCACTGCCACACATGGCCTGCCTTCAGCCAAACTCATATAAAGACAATAAACACGCACTGTTGGAACCGTATTTCAGTCCCACAGCTGTTTCAGAATCAGATTTCACAGTGAGTGAGAGAGAGCAAAAATATGCGTTGGATCACAGGATCCACACATGTGGCAGCTCAAAGCAACACAGTTACTACGAACCAAAGAATTTTTTTCTTTTTCAAATATATATCCACGTGGATTCCACTTTGGGTGTTAAAAGGTGACCATAACGAGCAGTGTTGTCAATAAGTAACCAATGATTTTGTAAATCTACCAAAATTTGTGTTTGACACTGTACCCAAGAAAAACATTTAACGAAAAACTAGAGTGCTTTTTTCATTTAGATGTTTTGCAAACACCAGCTATGGAGTGTTTCCACAGCATGCAGAGGATAAACTTTCTAATTCTAAGGAAGAGCTATTTCATCCATATATACTCACTATTATTTTGATACTCTAGGACAGTAATAGCATTGTGTGAACTGCAAGCAGGCAACCACAAAAAAGCCTGCTAGGGCATGGCTAGGAATCACAGAATCACAGAATATTAGGAGTTGGAAGGGACCTCAAAAGATCATCCACTCCAACCCCCCTGCCAGAGCAGGATCACCTAGACTAGGGCTACGCTTCTGACATGCAGCAGTGCTGAGAGACACATGAAGCATGGCAGGTTCCCTCAACCACCACAGCAGATGCCACAGCTATGACCACTTGCAAGCAACCTCTAGACGGCTTGACCAAAAGAGCACGGTGGCACGTGGCTGTGTTTCGCCACGGGGTTCTGCAAACCCTGCAGAGTCCTCTGTGATCACATCTGCAAACCTCCAGTCTGCACGTGCAACACAAGGTAGCTTGAGGGTGGCTGTGGAGTCACTACCAAGATGCAAAGCAGACGCAACAAGGCAGCTTCCTTCTCACCAGTTTCAAAGGAAAAAAAAAAGATAAAATGTAACAGTTTTCATAATTAAATACAGTTTAAAAAAACTTTGCAAAAGGCGAACATGCAAAGGAGGAAATTTTATTGTGGTCATCTATAGCTGTACTGGAAGAAACGTCTCTGTGCTGCCTAATGGCTGGAACAGTGAAGAAGTGTCTTTGATAACTGGTGACTCCCAGGAAGAAGTAAACTTCCTGATCTGTCATGTTAACAGGACTATTCTTATGTTTCTTATTCTTGTGTTCTTTGATGTTTAAATTAAATGAGACTTGATATTACAGACAATAGGATTACACAATTGAAGTTCTGAAGATTCACAAGACAAAAACAGGAATCTTGAGGGAGCATTATTTTTCAGACTGGTTATTATTATCTGAGACTGAGTGAGTTTCAGTTCCTGGTCTAAACTAGTTCAGTTTTTTATCCATCTTCAGTTTTCGTAAAATACTAAAACTTTCCGTAGATCAAAGACTGTGACTCAGACAAGAGTCCCAGCCATGACATTATTGTAGCATTTCTTCTCTGTCTCAGCGCACAGCAAACAGCTTCATCATATAGCTGGATTTATTTTTCTGCAGTAAATTAGAACCTTATGGTTGGGCACATAACCATCATGAAACAGACCTGAAAATACAAAGACTTATCCCTTCCTTGTTTCCTTTAGCTTGTACATCAACACAATCTGTTTCATCTGCCTTGGCAACACAACCTTTTCCTGGTACACAACAAAATATTTTTCTAACATTTCAGCTTTAGGCTTATCAGAGTGGGTGCCTTTCAAAACAGAGAAACATTTGGTATAGTTATTAAGCATTTATTAGTAAGAAAAAACAGAGCCTGAAACATATAAACAGACTCTGGAAAGCAGAGATTTAGAATTTACCTTGCAAATAAGGGACAGAATGTTATTGCTATACGTTATTAACAACTTCAGGAACTTTATTCACATCAGCAGAAACATGCAAAAATATAAAAGCATGCTTGTGCACAAGAGGATACTGATGCACACAGTAGCACAATAAAATAGGATTGTCTGTCCATTACTGTTGTTATACATCAGGGTGAAACGCTGTAGAAACACAGCAGTGACAATGCTGAGCAATTACAGGGTCCTTCTCCAATGAAACCACTTGTACAAATAGAGTTGGTTCTCATATAAGAAATATGAGCAAGTTAGATATCAGAGTGCTTAGTGTGTAAAAGACTGATCACTTAGGCTTTTTACCCAGCAAAGTGTGCAGTGTGCCTAAACAAAATGCATAAAATTCATTCTCCAAATGGGAAGCTAATTAAATGTAGCAAATTGGAAATGGTAGCACTGGCCTGCATATGAAATACTGCCTCTTGCTCTGGGTTTCAGACACTTGACTTCCACTTGCAGCTCCCACACTTCCCACACCCTGGACTCCCTCTTCAGCTACCCACTGAAAACCTACCACCGTGACAGCGCAGCAAAGAATGCACGAGGCTTCACAGGGCCACAGGGACTTTGTGGCTAATAACCCCTCCTAGGAAGAAATAGTCCAGCTCTGGTTTTATACTTAAAAAAATACAGGTTTTGCTCTTCAGGAATTTGCCTCCCAGCTGAGTCCTACAGAAGGGCACTGGACTCTGTGCAAAGCCTTCTTTCAGCACAGATTTCATGCAGGATTTGAAATTCAGTTTTGAGGTTGCATGGTTAGTTTTATAATCAGACAGCTGGTTCTACTTTGCCATATGTTTGCTGTCCATAATGCTGCTTTCCATCCGTATCATGTTTTGGACAGATGCAGTGCACATGATGTTGGCATCTCTGGGGTATCACTTAGAGCAATCTCTATGGAAGTAACCCAGATGAGCTTAACCATACACATTTCTTCAGCACTACACACAGTTTCTTTTTTTTCTGCTGTGCATTCAGGAGTATTCAATCTTTCAGGTTACGCATATTTCTATAATACTCACGTCTATCATCTCTTAAAACCCTTCCAGTAATAACAAACGGATTCTAATAGTTTACTTCTTCTACAAAGTATCTTTTAACACAATTGTGTAAAAAGGTTGGTATATAGGATAGCAATTTTAGATAGTTATCTACAATATAAACAACACGTAAACTATAAAAGCAGCCATCACATCTTAGCAAAAATACTTACCAACCACTCATGGTTTGTGTATATACATATATGAAAATGTATATACACACATATATATAAATTTATAGATCTCTACATCTAAATTTTGGAATGCTAAAAGAAACTCTGCCATCAATTCATATATTACAGAGTAATTTCTGAAAAATGGGTAAATCATCACCTACATTGTTACTTCAAGCTAAAATTCACTGGCCTTCATTTTCTGGTCCCCCACCTTCTATGGTCATTCATATAGTAGATGGAACTGGCATAATTTTAAATTAACTTAGCCTACCCTTTTTTCAGATACAAATGAGCACAATTTGCCTGGCAGTGGAGAAGCAGAAAGACCATGCAGCTGTGATCACAGACTGTCCCTCATTCCATCCAGAACACAGCAGTGGCACTTCCCTGGAAGCTCTACAGGTGCTGCCCTTTCAGAGCCGCAGTTCCGAGGTGCACACCACCAGCCTACGGTGCTGATGCTATTTGCCTACAATAATCCCAAGCAAAACGCTGGGAAGAAGTTATGAAGGGAAAAGGAGGAGTGCTGCTTGCAAGAAGCTTTAGCACTGTCTGTGAGATATGGCATGGCACCAACTATTTGACTAGCTTTCATACAAGCAAAGCTCCTGTTCCGATCTCTTAATAACCTCACTGTGGTATTAATGAGTCCTAGCACTTGGCATTCAGTACCAGTCCTGAGGGACAATCCAAATCCTGCAGGGCTCAATCACTTGAATCAAGGTTTGGAAAACTCTGAAACATTCACAAGCAGACAAAACAAGAATATCTGGAAAAAAAAATACTTAATATTTGGAGTGTGAGAACAATATAGGCTGTCAGGAAGGCAGAGTCTTTATTATCAGCTACAGATAGTGAGTCTATCCAGCAAACACCCCCAAAAGCCGTAGAATCAGTCACAGTGTTTTGTTTGTATTTTGATGTCAGTGTACAAGACAGAATAAATGTAATGCAGTGAAACAGATGAATCTGAAAAAATGAAACAATGCAACAGTCAATTTTGAAATTATTTTACTGAGATGGATGCAACTGAAAAAGTGTTACACAATAATGACATTACTTAATCAAATTAAATTGATTAAGAAGTTTTATAGCTTGCCTATAATAAAACATTGTAAACTTAAAGATAACCTTTAGACTGCAAAAACATAGAAACTGGGGCTGATATGCATATCTTATTTGTTTTGTCCTCTAGGGTGAGATGACTTTGGAAGTAAAAAGATAGCACAGCTACAGTAACACCTCTCTAGTCCTCTTTCTGACAGCAAGGAGAATGCTTAGATAAAGTTTATTAAAAAGAGGAAACTATGCACTGACCTTCACCTCATGTATCATTTCAGCTACTTGCAGCCTAGGGACTTTTTAATACAGAACTTGCATCCTTGTGTTTAATATGTTTTCACAGATAAACACTTGTCTAGATAAGTATCTGTCTAACTGCTCTTGAACTGTTTTCAACCTCCATTATTTCTGATATCAATTTCTGAGAAGGAGTTCTATGGTTTAACAGTGTTGTGTGAAAAAAAGTCTGTACTCCACAGTTGAAGAAATCTGAATGAGGTCTTAGAAGCTTTTGCTATCTAGAGTTACATGGGATGGGGTTAAACTGAGGTGTTACAGCTCTTACGGCAAAGTTGTCTGCTTCTGTATCAAAGCATTTATATGCACCTTTCTCTTTCCAGCAAACTTCCTCCTCACAGAGTAGCTTCTCCAAATAATTTTCTTGTTAGGTAGCATGAAAATTTGCTTCTAATCTTCCCATGGTTTTATCATCACTGAAATCTCTTGAATGGTTGCCACTATGCATAGGATCTAGAAAAAAGCTCATCAGTGGAAGACAGAGGGCACTGTAGAGAGAAGATGCCCACCTTATCCTGAAGCTCTTCTTGTTAGTTGGGATGGAGCGAAGACACATCCACAGAGTTTCCTGAAATTCCGTGAACTGTGCATAACGCGACAGATACTGCAACACAATGCTTTATACTCAGAAAAGAGTTCTCTGCTGGATAAGAGGAGACTGAGACTCACTGCATTAATCTTGTCCCTAACTTACAATTTCTGGAAGTTTACTGTGTATTTCTAGAGCATGTGAACATGTGAAGAATTAAATCATAAACAGATGTACTTGAGTATATGTTCGCATTCAAACGAAGAGGGCAAGGGGGGGCAAGGTGATCCTGGGCCAGTCAATGGACAAATCATCAGTCAAGCCAATACTCTACAGAACTGCAGCTAAATGGCCCTTTAAACTGTGTAGCTGGATGAAACACATTGTAGCCATATGAACCTTGTAAAGATAAACCCACTCTGAAAAAATACATCTTTTATATGAAAGCCTGATTTTTAAGAAGCAAGATGAAGAGGGAAAAAAAGTGAATATGAAACAGTTCATGCTGAAAGAATTCAAATTTACATGAAAACGCTTTATTTTCAGAGAGTTTAAGATTGTGAAGGCAGAAGAGAACATGAGTCCAAAACTCAGGAGGAAGAGAATAATTTTCTCCTAGATTGTTATTTTATTACTGGGCTCATTTACAGGACTCAAGGAAACCGACAGTCTAGATTACACATCTCAGAGTTTTCATTGTTGAAAAAGTTTAAAAATGTGTATTCTTTGCTTGCTGCATCTTGAAGTCTAGTAGCAAAACAACAGAAGAAATACTGCTTTATTTTCTTCAGACTTTTTGTTAATCACCAAGATCTGCTCTTCAAGGCAAATGCATTTTTAAGTGTCTTAAGCATGTCCTCATCCCTCTACCAGAATGAACTGTGTCATATATGCAATCTAACAAACTTTTTTATATATACATATGTTCTCTCCCTAACTATATGAATGTACATGATGAATAACACGGCATTCGAGGAACACCACAGTATATTTCATCAGTAACCTGACAGGGATGCAGTTACATGAGCAGACAGCAAGATTTTTGAGTACTCCAAATTTCATTACATAAAAGTAGGGAGAAAATGAAATTTCATAGGTACAATTGCTGTAATTCCCTTCTCTTTTCTAAGATGGCTGGCTCCCTAAATTCTTATGCCAACAATTGTTCTGGAAAATTAAAACTGTATTTTTTTAACTGTTTCCTGGCATTCATGCAGCTAAACACACCAAGGACAGAGAAACTCTTCTTCAGATAATTTTTGGTTTCCCTTTGATATTGCCCCCTTACCAAATAAACAGCTAGGAGAGAGGCCTTAAAGAGACCCATTTGGAAATACAGATGAGAAGGTTCAATCGGACTAAATACTCCTCTCTCCCAATTTCATATCCTTTTTGGTTCTACCGGATAAGGCAAAGCACCTACTACTTTGCTTCTGCACGTACGTGTAACTACCTAGGTCAGGCAACTGCCATAAAATGTCACTAAATACACTTCATTTCTGATTGTGGAATTGACTCTGAGAGAACCTACATAATCAGAGTTAACCATCTAGTAACACAGCAGGGGCAAGAAGAGGCATCACCCTTTCAAACAAAATCGGCTCAGGAACTAGACTGTTCCACGTGCAATTGCCACAAATAATTCCTTACAAAAAAAAGCTACTTGCTTTGGGCGGGCTCATCCCTAATTTTCAAAGTTGATCAGTAATAAATATCCAGGATTCCTCTATAGTCAAGGGAAAGAATCTGGTTCCTGGGGAGGGTGATTCATCACATACTAAGATTGACTAAGATTGGCTAAGATGGGCAAGATGGATCTTATACTTTGGTTTTTCAGAACGCATGCAGAAATAGCATACAGGGTATTTTGTTTATTTTAGTGGTTAAGTTCCTTCTCTTCTGGAAATTGTTCTGTTTGAAAGGGAATCATATTTTACCACTGTGACACTGAATACTAGCAATTTTGATTTATTTTACATCAATCACTATTTCAATTTTTTAGTCTTAGGAGACAAAAATTAATACTACTCGATTATGTGAAAATTGTATGAAATAAATATAGAAATGTGTAAGCAAACAAAGAAACTAAGCTCAAATGGCATTCATGAAAAAAATTCTGTGACATTTGTCCTAGGCTGAATCTTTCTCACAGCCGATAAAACAGTCTGCTGCATTTTACCAATGAAGGTTAAAAGAAGTATCAGGGTTTCAAAGCAAATTATGCCTTATTAATATATTTTAAAAATCTATTTAAAAATCACTGTTGTAAAAGAAAAAGGCAGGTTTTTTTTTGAATGCATCATCTCTGTGTACGTATCCAGCTTTTCACAAATAATTTGACAAACAAAACTAACAAAAAGGATAAAAATATGTTATTTGGTATGTCCCAAATACCTTAATTAGGTTTTAAGCACCTGAAAATCTACACAAACAGCTCATCCTCACCTGGGATCAGCAGTGCAAAACTCAAAATAATCATGGGCAGGTAGAGGATGCAGCTGTTCCTCCAGTTGCTCCTTAGTTAGACAAGGAGGAAGTCGTCGAATAACTACCTGCATATATAAAAGAAAACTGAGATTTATCTTTGATCTAAATACTGTAGATAGAGACTAAACAAATCATATTACTCATCTTTAAAAGCTCTTCCTCACATTGGGAACTTCAACTAGAGCATTAGCCTCCTAGCGATTTACTATCTGCTGACAGATGGAACAATTTCCTTTTCTCAGTTTCAGTTAACATTGTAAAACTGTAGGGTAACTGAAATGTTTCGATGAAGAGCTTGAGAACTGTTGCACTTAAGCCAATAGCAAAGGATTTTAACAAATGACAAAAAACCCCAGATATTTACTGCACAAAATGTACAGTCTCTTTTAAAAAAACCCTTAAACTAACTTCTAAGTCTTTTATTATGACAGTATCTTTGTGTATTAGGTTTATGTGTCCAGGTGCTGGTGGGGGGAGGTGCTCCAGGGCAGCCTCTGTGGGGAGCTGCCACAGCCTCCCCACGCTGGACACAGCCATGGACCAGTTCCAATGGACGCACCAAAGGGCACCGCTGAGCCCCTCAGCAAAAACGGTGGCACCTCTGGGAAAAAGGATTTAAGAAAGGACAGAAAAGGCTGCACAGCAATGTGTAAGACAGAGAAGTGAGGGGGGTAAAAAAAGGGTAAGAAACAGCCCTGCAGACACCAAGGTGAGAGAAGAAGGAGAGGAGGAGGTGCTCCAGGCACCAGAGCAGAGATTCCCATGGAGGAGACCATAATGAAGCAGGTTACTGTCCTGCAGCCCACAGAAGACGATGGTGGAGCAGATATCCACCCTGCAGCCCATGGAGGTGCCTTGAAGGGAGCTGCAGCCCGTGGAAAGCCCACGCAGGAGCAGGTTTTCTGGCAGGACCTGCAACACGTGGGAGGGACTCGCGATGAAGCAGTTAATGAGGGACTGTACCCCATAACAGGGATCTCATGATGGAGCAGGGGAATAGCATGAGGCAGAAGGAGCTGCACAGAGGAGCTGTTATGTCCTGTCCAAAACCCTCATTCCCCATCCTCCTGTACTGGCTGGGGGCAGCAGAGGTGGAACCTGAGGAAGAAGGGGGTGGACGGGTGAGAAGGTGTTTTAATTTTAATATCCATTTCTCACCATTCTACTCTAATTTTTTTAATTAGCACTAATGTAAATTAATTTTCTCCAACTTGCATCTGTTTTGGCTGTGGTGGCACTTTGTATGTGATCTCCCTGTCTCTATCTCAACCTATGAGTTTTCTGATCTTATTTTCTCGCCTTGTTCTGCTGAGGAAGGAGTGAGAGAACAGTTGGCCTGGGGTCTGGCAGCCACCCAAAGTCAATCCACCACACTCAGGTAAACTGGCCAATAATAAAGGCCAGGAAACCTCATAGAAACCTTTGGGACAGAACAATGCCAGCACACAAAACAGTAAAATAGCCATCAACCTTCAGACAATCTGTTCTCATTTCCTGCCAATATCTGAACTTAACTTGACTTAGGTTACAGTGATTTTCACTGCTTCAGTTTTCCAATTTAGAAACTGGGAATAAATCAGACCTCACAGTACTCTATGTGAGCATTCTTTGAAAAGTGCTTGAACGAAGCCAGGGAGAGAGAAGTGCTCTTGTCCTTGCAGGAGCTGCTGTGCCACAGCCCCAGCCAGTCTTGGTTTCTGAAGCATTAAAGGTGAAAAAGCTTGCAAACCTGCACCACTACTGCTGCTGCTGGGGGACTCTCAAGACGCTTGAGTGCTTAACCACCCTCATTCTGCAGGTGAGGACACACCTTTAAACACCAGAGCCTTCTAAAATTACGCTCGGTCCGTCAAGCAGGGGCTTACCTGCGCCGCGCCACGCCCCTCACGGCAAACTCCCCCTGATCCTCAGACATTTCCCCCGGGGGACGCTCCCCACCGCGCCCCGCTGCCGTGGCCCTCC